GAAGTCCAAGGTGAGGGTGATTTCTGGTGGTAGAAATGAGCCAGGCTTTCCAGTTGCGTATCTGTCAACAGCCAAAACTGAAGGACCGTTCGAGGGAAATCTGGATGAACAGCGCCAGTGGTGAGCTGAACAAGAGGAGATAGTAGAAGTGCCATCTGGTGCAACTTGTATGCTAAACCTGGGTTGCGTGCTAGACGACGCTGAATAAACGTCTCGCATTGGGGCTGTTGTGAAGGGATCGTCTCTCGATGCATCATTTTGACGAGTTGTGCGAACATATACTGGGATTGATCCCAAAGGCAATGGCGTCTCTGAAGCACAGGAAAACGCCTATTTTTCTGGCTTTCGGCAAGCTGAATAATTGGTATGCTGCACAGAAGTGGCTGGAATCAAGTATATGTAGTTCTGTTCCGCTTTTGCCCTATGCTCGAAATTGTTATATCGAAGCAACCAATCTGCAAAGAGGCCCTGATAACAGACTTGAGCAAGCTTGTAACTCTGACTATGTCGAAGACGGCGATACTAAAGATCAAATACAGTGTCCTCTGATGCTTTGGGTGGTGATGGGCTGGGCTGGAATGTGAAGCGGTTTGCCGGATCCGTGCTCTGGCTGGTATGCGGCACCACGTTTGACTATCCGTTTTCGCTCCTTCGAGAAACCTTATGAGGCTCTATCCGCCGTCGAAGTGCTCCCTTCAGAAAACAGCCAATATATCCAAAATTTTAAATTTCCTGACTTTAATTTGGACCAATACGCAACAACGGTGGTACGTATGGGATAATGAAAGGAAGAAGTGGAAGTAGACGAAACCAAAATGGTGGTATAAGGCAAGATGACGAGGAGGGGGACCAGGCTGATTATCAATGAAGTGAGATGAACTCGACATTCAAGGGTTTTATTGTTACATGCAGTGTAAAAGCGTCCCAGCCCTCTTGTATGTTCCCTCACCGACCCAGTAAATCGTTATATGGTCCCCTTTGACCGCGCCCGGCGGCGCCAATAAAGCAGACTGACACTCAAAAGTCCTGGATTTCAGCTGTTCTCCATCTTGTATGAACCATGAACCACCACCCATGGATGGCCGTGGCATGGGATGGCGGGGGGGGGGGGGGGGTTTACCTGTTGCCCACTCCCTCCTCT